CCCTTGTCCTCACCTTGTTGGTAAATCAGGGTTGGACCAATTTGGCGACACAATCCTTTTCACCACTGAYGATGAGATTCTAGAGGCCATGTCTCGTTTTGATGAAACCTTCCTCAGTGAAGCTGAGAGTCCTGAGAGCTTGGTGTATGAGGAGGAGCTGCAGAGGCCACGCACYGCTGATGGAGAGGGAGAAGAAAGACCTTTTACACAGGCTGGTTTTAGAGAGGAAGACCTCACTGTGAGTAAAGCCTTCAGCGGATCTAGACATGCTGATCCAAAGACAGTTTTCTTATTCAACTAAATGTGATTTCAACAYTAACTCACAAAACGTATAAGTGCAGAAGAAGGGATAACCTGTATTTCGGTCTTGGTTAATTGTCAAGATATAATAAGTGATTTATCACCAGGGGTTTAAAGAGTGTGTTCTGTTTTTAGTTGAAACTTCAACTTAATCCCACTGTGAATCAGAGTGAGGAGAGCTCAGAACATGTTCCTGGGATGTTCACTGGAACATGTGAGTAGACTAATCATCTCTGTTRTCTAGTTCTTTTCTTGTCATACATTTGGCATTCTGTTTTGTAAAACGATTGGGCCTCATGCAAGAACATGTTCGTATTCTTATCCAAAATTTCTCTTACTTTTGTTCGTACGAAGGGTTCGTACGAACGTGTCACGTCAGATTCAACAAACTTTTCTATCTTCAGGAAAAGTGTGTAAATGAGGAGCGTAAACTGATGAATGCGAATCAGCTGCTCGTGCACGAGGAGAGGTGATTTACATAATTACCACCCCAAAATCACCATATTAGGCTACGTTTCCTGCCCAAGATACCAGGAAGTGTCCATTCATAAATGACATTGCAAAGTAAAAAGAAGAACTTTACGAGTTCGGAGAGTCCTGCTCTGAGAGATCCAGGGAAAAAAAAGTCATTTTTAGCTGCGTCAGCTGTAGAATTAAAGGAGCTGCTTTAAAGCAGAGGAATGAAATGACTGCTGTTAATGTCGTGTCTCCCGTGGGTCACACAGTCACAGAAATAAAATCTAAATCATATTTATCTCTCTCAGTAGTCCTGCTCCAGTGTTTCTTTGGTCAAATATTTTTTAAGTGTAAACAACTGTGTTACATAGTTTTCATTTATTCAGAGGAGCAGTCGCGCACCGCTATGCCCTGTTAAATATATGACAGGTCTGGATCACACGTGAATTTTGTTCGTATCTGAAAAAAATCTTAGAATATGAGAAAATTGGTGAATGCCACAAATTCTACTAAATCACTCGTACACACAACTTAAGAACAAATCTGTGCGTACGAACGGTTCTTGCATGAGGCCCATTGTCTCCTGTTGTCCCAGGCCTTCGACTGGAGCTGATGGCGACGTGGGGCGACTCCCACTATTTGGGCCTGACGGGACTGGAGGTGGTGGGGAAGGACGGTGAGAGCTTACCTTTAGATCTCAGTATGATTTCTGCCTCACCGAGGGACCTAAACGACCTGCCAGAGTACAGACACGACTTGCGCACGCTCGATAAGTACGACCCGCTCAATCCCAGTCCCAAAACTGATCATCAGATCAGCGCCTGTCTTCAGTGGCTGTTTTCATCCCGCAGGCTTATCGACGGCCACAACATCACCACCGAGGACCACCACATGTGGCTGATTCCTTTCTCCTATGGAGAACTCCACATCTTGAACATCACCTTCAGCAGGATCCAGACCATCGCCGGTCTCCGTGTCTGGAACTACAACAAGTCACCTGAGGACTCGTACAGAGGGGTGAGACWTGTTTCTGCCTGACTTAAACAATTAGGAGCAATTACAGAAATGAATGCAATTCTTTGGTTATAAGTTGTGTGAAATTGCTAAATCAGTAAATTAAACTACATTATTATACTGTTTAATTTGAAGTCAGACTCTTCTTTTTTTATTATTTGCACAATAAATAATTAACAGTACGTGTTATTTGTACAAACACACTTCTCAAACACTCATTTTGCAAAAACATGACTTTGCTCTATATGTCTTATAAATGTAACCATTTCTYGTTGTTTGGTTTAGGTGAAAGTCATCCATTTGTACATAGACGATGTTACCATCTCTCCAGCCGAGGGGTTCCTGATCCGGAAAGGTCCAGGACATTGTCACTTTGACTTTGCCCAAGAAATCCTCTTTGTTGACTTCCTTCGAGCACCKATCACTAACAAGAGGAATGAAGACTCCCAAAAGTACAAACCAGAATTTGAGTTATTTCAGATTTGTGTCCAAGTGTGCACGTATTATCTGCTAATGTTTTAACTTTGTTCATTTTAATTTAGAGTTAGCTCTAAGAAACAGGAACAGGCCAGCACGGACTATGAAGCTCCCATCATGCCTTGCGGCTGTATCCTTATATACAGTGAAGCAAGTTGACTCCTTTTTTTTGTCTTTTACTGTTTAAGCTACAAAAACAGACACAAAGCAAATATTTGCTTACATTATATGCTCCAAAAAGCTTTAATTTAGTAAAAATATTTTGCAAAATTGAACTGTTTTGAAATTTATCCATTGCTAGATGGGTTTTATGGTATTTAAAGGGGCAAAATTATGTGTTTCTCAGGCATATATTTAAATACTATTCCATAATAAAGTATCTATGTCACCTTTAGCTGTTATTAAAATGCTGTTTTTATGTTTAAATAGAAAAATAAACTTATCTTCTCATCACTTCCTCTTCTAAAC